TAATAAAAAGTATTACACAGCTCATGTAAATTGAAACCATAAATACAAGAAAATATACACTTGTTAAACTAGAACTATCTTAAGTAAAATGTCAGCATATTGTAGATAAAAACGATAAAAATAAACTAATTACATGTTTTGTCTTATGCATTAAAAAATACTTAATATTTTGTAATATATTTAAAATCTTCAGTTTACTTTTATATAAATATAATTTAATTTAGAAGTTGAAGCATCGTATTATTAACGGAACATATAAAAAATCGTTCCCTTTTTATATAAACAAACTTACAGCAAAATAAAATAAATGATGTAAATTAAGTGAAATTCAAATATAAGGCACATTTTATTTAGGAAACAGTACAAAACCTGTTTTTAACACAATAAAATTTATATCTAGTCTACTAATTATCTAAGATCTGATCTTACAAACTAGATATACACCTGTATTTTTATATACAAAATGTATCTGAGATTTAGATTATTAACAACGTAATAAAATATAGCACGGTTCAACAAATAAGCTTAACAAAATTGATATTTAGTGGATTGCAATAAAAAGCTTCCAAGCACTTGCAATGATCAAATGATAAATAATTGATCAGTTATCAACCGGGGTTGAAAATTATTGCATTAATATCACTTTTAAAAAATAGGGCATCAACCCCTATTTTTTAGAAGAAAGAGATTTTGTAGAAGGGTGAAAATTTAAGGTTGTATGTATTTTTTAATGCCACACCATAAAAAAAATAAAAATAAAAAATTTTGTCCAAAAAATAAAAAAATTTGGTGGACCACCCTTATCACTTAGTGGTATAAAAAATAGAAAACAACCTATTCTCAGACCTACCGAATACATATAAAATTTCATCAAAATCGGTCAAACCGTTGAGTGCAGTAACTAAAACTGTGACATGAGAATTTTATATATTAGAATTTAGCTTCACCGTGCATGATCAGAACTTCCCCAGGCAAAATTTGGCAAGGCTTGTGATTTTAATTTTTGTTTAGTAAATTGGCAGATTTTTTTTCCAATCATATCTATGTGGATAAATTGTATAAATAAGTAAAGCGAGCTGTTATATGTAGATTTCAGTAAATGTCTTGTTCCTGTCGGTCGGATCAGAAAACCAAATTCATTATGCAACTGATGAAGTAGAGCTCACTAGACTATAATGACTACATGTATAAAATAATTAAAATATTCTTCTAATATGCCTCACCACCTTCTAGTGCTCAGGGCCTATTTTATCATAAGTCCCATAAGGCCCGGTGGTCTGGGGGCCAGTTAAAGGTTGTAAAATATTCATAATTTCTTGAATTTTTGAATTTTATTGGAAAAGAGGGCCCGAATTTTTGCTTGGGCATTAGGGCCCGACCAGATGAAAAATAGGCCCTGCTAGTGCTACAAGCCGACCCTGAGTACAAGAATACATAATGAGTTAAGCTAGAATATTAATCTTTACTTACGCCATCTGTTGATTAGCCCGTTAAATACTCATAAAGGTGCGTACTCACTGAGCAAACGAATGCCGAACGAACAACGAACTCCGAATGATTCGTACCGATTCGAATAGATCCGAACTCCGAGTGTGTACGTAAATGCGAAGGCGAATCGAATGGCATTTTTAAGTTCGGTTCGCCGTTGCCTGCGTTCGGTCGGAAAGCGGTAAATCAAAGAGATTCGCAGTTCGGTGTTGACGAGATTCGCGGGTTTTTAATTTTTTTTGGAGAACTCCGAATCCGAATTTGTATTATTTGCATTTGGACGCTGTGTTTTTAAGTTAAAAGGAGGGTTTTAAGGTTTTTAGGGTTCCGTACCCAAAGGGTAAAAACGGGAACCCTATTACTAAGACTTCGCTGTCCGTCCATCTGTCACAAAGGTCTATCTTATGAACCGTTATAGCTAGACAGTTGAAATTTTTACAGATAATGTATCTATGTTGCCGCTATAAGAACAAATACTAAAAACAGAATTAAATACATGTTTATAAATAAAAAAGTACTTTCACTAAACATTATCTTTTAAGTAAGAATTTTACATAGAATCTTTCAAGTCCTAGATGGCCGCTTGGTTTGGTTTGAGCGTTAGGACTTTACGCTGCTATGACATTGGAACCGTAGTAAGGCAGGTTCGAAGTTCGAATCCTAGTCAAGGCGACTTTTTTAATCGTTTTTTTTAATTTTTACATATTTATTTTTACTTTTTACATATTTATTATTGATTAATACAATTTTTAGTAATGTGTTTCTTCATTTTTTTTAAATTACTTATACGCGCATTCAAAATTTCAGCTAAATCGGAAAAAAGTTTATAATAATATAGTGTCTAATGTTTAATAGATAATGAATGGTACGGGACCCTTCGCGCGCGAGTCCGATTCGCACTTGACCAATTTCTAAGGTCCCCCCTTTTTTTTTTTTTTGCTTTTAGTGATTCCGCAATTGCTATCCTCCATTCGCGAACGAGTTCCGGGCTTTACGCCCTGGGGCTACTCGAGAACGGTTCTGAAAGGAGCGGTGCGCGATAGCCTGGTGCCTCCATATGGCGCGGAACAGTTCTGGAACTTTATGACTCAATTGAATGGAGTGAGAGTATCGCGTTCTTGATCAATTCAGAGCTGCTCAACTGCGTGAAAGGAGGATAGCAAATAATTATAAACAGTGGCGGATACAGAAGGGGGCCCATGGGGCCCGGCCCCCCCTGGAATCTGTAAATTTGTGTTAAATATTAGGCTTTTGCAATAAAATAAATTCCTGTATCCGCCCCTGATTATAAAAGCTTATGCCGCTATAATTTTGTCACACATTTTTTCTGCTAAACAAACTCACAAACCGACGAAGCCAAGCAAACAGCGAACTTTCTGCATTCGTTTCGGATTTGCTCATTGGTAGGGTACCTGAATTACGGCCGAACGAACCCAGAACCTTCGTTGTTCGTTCAGCATTCGTTTAGTTATTTAACACCTTAAATGATGTCAGAATGTTAGGCGTCTGTTTAAACTAGTGAAAAATAATATGCATGGTTTTTTCATTTTAAAAATATATTTTGATTAAGTCGAGGATTAAGTGAATTGAACTTCAATTGTAACCCGGCTAGATTTTATTATGTGTTAACAGAGCTGCAAGCTCATAGAAAACTTAAGTCTTTTTTTGACTTAAATCATTTTAATGACTTAAATCACTTGATTTTAAGTCATATTTCGATTGCTGATTTAAGACTTAAAATTTACGTCATTTTCAAAATTGAATTTTCAAAGCTATGTTTCAAAGTGATTTAAGTCTTTATTCCGAAATAGAAAAAGATTTAAGTCTTTTTAGAAAAGATTTAAGTCATTAAAAAAAAGATTTAAAGTTTTTAAAAGATTAAGTCTTTTTAGAAAATATTTAAGTCTCTTTCTTCATAAATTTTTATAATAAATTTTTAACAGCGGCATCAAATATGTGTTTGCCATCTTTATTTTCATAAAAAAGTAGCAACTGTGAAAACCGAATCTTTGTACCGCTGCTCATAAACGAGAAACACTGTAAAACACACAAAAATGGGACAACCTGTACAAAGTACCAAGAAATTTAATTTTATTTAAGTTGTTGATGTTTTTATATGTGTGTTTTTATGTCCCGATGCGTTTATTATTTATTATAGTTGTTTATATAATATTTTATTCTAATCTGTATCTACAATAATATAGATAATAAATGGCTATTAATATAGGTAATAAATGGTCTTAAAGCAGAAAGAACTCTGAAAGCATTATCTGGTCTGATGCCAAATATAGGCGGTCCAAGATCCTCACAACGAAAATTATACTCGAACGTGGTTCATTCTCAAGTCCTCTATGGATCTCCAGCATGGTTTATGGTAACTTCCAATAAAAGGCTTATGGTCAAACTTAGCAGCTTTCAAAGGGCAGTTGCTATCAGGGTAATAAGCGCATACAGAACCATATCTACAGACGGAGTTGGAGTTCTAGCACGGATACCGCCTAGGGAACTCCAAATTATAGAAAGGCGCGAAAAGTACACAGGAGTAGGTTCAACCATAGCGAGGAATAACTTAATGGTCAAGTGGCAAGAAAAATGGGACTCAAGTAGCAAAGCTCGCTGGACCCACTTTCTGATTCCGGATATAGAAGTATGGATTAACCAGTGTCATGGCGAAGTAGACTACTATGTTATCCAGGCTCTATCTGGGCATGGCTGTTTCAATAAATACCTGCACAAATTTCGAAGATCAGAGACCGCTGTGTGCTTGTACTGTAGTGAAGAAGATGATGCGAAACATACACTTTTTATTTGTAGCAGATGGGTAGGGCAAAGAAGACTATTCTGCACGGAAACTGGAAAAGTTTTTAACCCGACAAATGTGATGGAGTCTTTAATGACCAAAGAAATGTGGGACTTGGGTTATAAAACTATAAGACAGATTATTGAAACCAAAGAACGAGAACATAGACTGAATAAAGCCATCCGGACCATATCTATCCCTCCATAAAACTTATCTGTGATATTATACTGTGACTGTGACCTGTGATAAATGCTTATCTGTTATATGTACTTACCTGTGATATATACTTATCTGTGATGTATACATACCATATTTACCTTAACTGCAAACTCCACCATAGAATCTGTGTTATGCAATGAAGAGACCAGGCAGAGCGTGTTGAAGTAATGCGAGAGCGGTTTCCGATGCGCTTTGTCTTTTTTTCGGAGGGGAAGTTTTTAGTCGGTAGGCGGGCTACTGATGTGTTCGAATCCGACACACGCCGGCCTTTAGAACACCAGGTCGGTAAGGTCTTTTGAAGATTTTTTTCCCCTCTCACACAAAAAAAAAGATAATAAATGGGTAATACAAGAAAATGAATATTACCATTTAAAAAATAGGTATTTAAATTGAATTCTGGTTGTCTTGACTTGAGGGAAATTATATTGATTTAAGTCATTTTACTGAGTTAACTTGCAGATTATCATGACTTAGGTAAAAAAAGACTTAAGAAAAAAAAAACTTAATTAACGTTATATTGATTTAAGTCTTTACAAAAATGAGTTGACTTGAAAGAAAATGACTTAAGTTAAAGACTTAAAACTTAAGTCATTTGAACAGTATATTGAAATTGACTTAAGACTTAAGTATTTTTAAAACTGACTTGTTGCAGCTCTGTGTGTTAATAATAATTTTTCATTAAAAACGTATTTATAAAAATAGAATCAGGAATAACACTTCAACTTATTAGTGTCCTAACTGGAGCTAATCATATCAAAATCACACATGCTCAATTGGCACAAATAAGTTAATTTTCATTTCTGCTTTCGTTATTCGTAGTGTTGATCCTTTCTTGGCTTTTATATGGCGGCGGTGGTTCTGCTAACAAGCTGTTACTTCTGATAACGTCAATGTACGAGGGTGGTTGATCATAAGCACTACTAGCGTTTATCACATTGAAGCGGGCAGGATTAAAAAGTAGAGGATCGTTTACATCGGACGTATCGATAATAATATTGCGAACTATATTATTACGCGGCGTCCTAGAATTTCGATATGCGTAAATATCACAAGGAATTACGTTAATATTTGTTTGATTGCGAAGCGCTATATTTTCGCACAGGCTGTGCCTTTGTTGCTGTATAGCGCTTTTCTTAGCAAAAATTAATACTTTAGATATTATTAGCAGGAGAAGGATTATAGAAAACAGAATGCTGACCACACCTAAAATAAAAAAAAATGTTTAATAAAATGTTTTTTCAAATTAAAAAATAGTGTACTTACAAACTAATATAAAGAGATACCTAGCAGTGTGCTGAGTTTGAGGTACATTTGGAAAACCCAATTCCATTTCTTCATATGCTGAAATAAAAAAAAATAAGTATTTTTTGTATTCATTAGAATACAAAGCATTAGCTTTTATACAACACAGTCGTAATCATAATCGCAATTCAGTGGCGGCTCGTGACTATACAGGGTGCTACAAATTCGAGGTACGAGCATTGGTAACTCGGTAACCGTAATAGATACGAACATGGTTAAATTGGGGCAAAGTTGCGCTTTGGGATGTTCACCAAGATGCCATCAAAAAAGTTTTAAAAATTTCAAGGATTGCTGAGTTTTTTGGAAAAACGGATTTTTTTGAAAATCAATTTTATTTTTTCGTGTCGATACTTTTTAGAAAATCAAAAACTAATTGCACATGCTCATAGCCACTTTATTAGGACTATCTGATAGTATTTTTAGATTTTTTTCAAATTAGCTGATAATTTGTGAGATACAGAGGCCAACTTAATTTTTTTAAATACGGACCTGCATTTTTTATTTCAGATTTTGAAAGAACTCGCTCTCCTGAATACAATGATATGCCACACTTAATAGATAGGCCAGGAAATGTAGCCGAGTGTTATATGTAAAGGTGGAAAAAATTAGTAACCAACCAATCTCAACAGGAATGTGTAGATAATGATCTCCTCTTTAACCCCTCAAAAGTCCCATTCGGTCCCAGTGGGGGAAGTTTGAAAAAAACCGCCTCCATCTTGGATTTTTTCGTTTTTTTCAAATATCTCCGTTTGCATCACTTTTTTCGAAAAAACTAAAGATATGTTTTTTGTAGAGAACTAAATTTACAATATTTTACCTTAAATCATTTTCTTTCTAAAATAAATAGTAATTGAGATAGAGCAATTTTTTACTATACGTTTTATAAATTTTCCAGTTTTTTTTAAACCAATCGGCTATAATTTTTAAGTTAACAGTATAGTGTTAATATAGATAAACAAAGTATAACTTTAAACATTAAAACAATTAAAAAAAAACGTATAAATATTATTTATTAAGTAAAATTATTGTTAAAAAAATTATTATTAAATTTAAGTTATAAAAAAATAAAATCCATGGCGTCATTCTGAGTGTCATTTTCGTCCTCAACTAAAATAGTTTTGTGCAACTAATTCCATAGCACTGACCACACTTTGAAGAACATTTAAGACCCAGTTTTCTACAAGACCAATTTTTAGAACACTGACTCTCTTTGCAATTGCAATAAATTGATTTTAGTTAGGTCAGGAGGCGTCACTTCTGTTAATTGAATAGGTGTTAGATTGCCTTTTTGATCTATCTTCCATCCATATTGTAAAGGATCTAACTTATTACAAATCCCATTGTTAAATCTAAAAAATACAACTTATAATATTTCATATAATAGATATTTTTACAGTTACCAGAAAGTATGTCCTGAGTAAATGGAGTTTTGCAGAGTTTTCAGATGGAGGCAAATTAGCTAAATTAAAGGTAGTCTTAAGGGCTTGTCCTGATGTAATCCTATTATATAGAGTATATCTAGTAATAACAATAATATAATAATAGATCCCGTATATAGCGTTTAACGTCTTGGGAGCAGCAAGGTACAGCTTGCCATGCTAGAGCCGTTCGGTATACGAAGGTAATGTGGCTGGCACTACGCTGTAACCGCCTATTATTACCTCAGGATTGTGAATCCCAAGTACTCATTTAAGGTTCAGTCGACCTAGCTACCCAAACTATTTTTATTTTATTAAAAATAGACGACTGATGAACTACCGGCTGTAGGATTCGAACCCACAACCAATCGATTGGTAGACGAGAGCTGTACCTCTACACCACCGGGTACCTATAGAGTGTATCTCAGATGAATAATATGTTTAATATCGCTTGGGCAGTGATATAGATTTAAAAGATAATTTAATTAGTCAAGATTAAATTATCTTTTAAAGCTAAACAAACTACCCAAGCTATATTAAACATATTCACCATCTGAGATACACTCTATACAATAGACTTACATCAAGACAAGCCCTTAAAAATATCTTTAATTTAGCTAATTTGTCTCCAACTGAGAACTCTGCAAAACTACATTTACTCAGGACATACTTTCAGGTAACTGTAAAAATATCTATTCTTATATAAGTCAATACAAGTCATTTTGAGGAATGTTTTATTTTGAATGAAGAATTGTGTGAGGGAGTGCTTGTTCAATTGTTAAGCCAGTAGAAAATAAAATTCCAGTGAAAATTTTAAATGTAATGAGAAGGCGGTTAAAATTAGAAATTTTTGTCCAAAAGTTGAGAATTTTGCTGTTGCTGAGTATGATGTGTGTAGCTTTGGAAAAGAACGAATTTCAGTTGAGAGAGTCGATAAAATTTTAGATTTGGTAGATACAAGATCATTAAATAGTGAAGAAAAAACATCGGTAGATAAAATTTGAGCTAAATATGCAGATATTTTTCATTTACAAGGTGACTATTTATCAGTTACAAATCTTTATAACCAAAAATTTGGTTGCAAAAGGATGCAAGTCCTGTTTTTGTAAAACCGTACAGGCTTCCGCATGCGCAGAAAGAAGAAATTCATTCTCAAATAGACAAAATGTTGTGTGAAGGTATAATTGAGGAAGCAAGGTCTGAATGGTCTTCGCCTTTATTAATTGTACCGAAAAAAGCAGATCAAAGCGGAAAGAAAAGATATAGAGTAGTGTTGGATTATCGCTTGTTAAATCGACAGATTAAAGATAACGAGAAAATGCCTTTACCTAACATAACGGAAATTTTAGATTCTTTATCAGGGGCTATATATTTTTCTCATTTGGATTTGGCTCAAGGATACTATCAATTAGAACTAGAGCCGGAAAGTAGACCTTATACAGCATTTACAACCGTGGTAAATTTCAGTTGAAACGGTTAGCGATGGGGATGAAAATTAGTCCTTCGGCATTTTGAGACTTATGACTGTGGCTATGGCAGGTTTAAATTATGATGCTTGTTTTGTATATTTGGATGATTTAATAGTTTTTGGCGACTCTTTGCAAAACTATAACATAAATTTAATTAAAGTTTTAGAACGTTTAAGGAAAGTTAATTTAAAACTTAATCCATCAAAATGTGAATTTTTGAAAAAAGAAATTCTTTATTTAGGTCATGTCATTTCTTCAAACGGTATTTTACCAGATCCAGAAAAAAGTAGAGCTATTTCAGAATATCCTATTCCTACAAATGCGGATGAAGTAAAACGTTTTGTAGCTTTTGCAAATTATTATAGAAAATTTATTAAAAATTTTGCGGAGATAGCACAACCTCTTAATAACTTATCTCGTAAAGGAACAATTTTTAATTGGGACAAAGATTGTGAAAAATAATTTGAAATTTTAAAGCGAGCATTGATTAATCCACCAATTTTACAGTATCCAGATTTTTCGGAAAACAATGAATTTATATTAAGAACTGATGCAAGTGGTTATGCTTTAGGAGCTATTTTATCAAATTTTAACGACAAACCAGTCGCGTTTGCATCTCGAGTCTTAAATAAAGCAGAACGAAATTATTGTACAATTGAAAAGGAGCTTTTAGCCATTGTTTGGGCTGTTAAGCATTTTAGACTTTATTTGTTTGGAAGGAAATTTAAAATTTTAACTGATCATAGACCTTTAATTTATTTATTTAATATGACTAATCCGTCTAGCAGATTAACAAAATTTAGGTTAACTTGGAAGAGTATGATTTTTCAGTACATTATGTAAAAGGCTCTGAAAATGTAACAGCTGATGCTTTATCACGAGTGAGATTAGAATCGAGTGAACTTAAGGAAATGAATGGTAGTATAAATGAAAAGGTGAATGTAATTATAAGAGCTCAGTCAAAAAAGGCAACTTGTGCAAATCGGTGCATTTCTGACATGTCCAGTAGCAAAAGGCTTGATCACCCTGTTGTTGTGGAAGTGCTTAAACGTACCGATGAGACAGCTGAATTACGTCCACTGACAGATACAAATTTTAAAAAATCTAGAAATTTAATACATCGTTCCAATTCGCACTTAAATAATATTATATATGACATAGATGCGCAAATAATATATCTTAACCAGAACCACCGATCAGTGTATGACTTAGGTACGTCATTGAGGGAACTGGTTAATAATAAAATTAATATTTTGCAATTGCAAAGAGAGCCAGTGCTCTAAAAATTGCTCTTGTAGAAAAAGGGTCTTAAATGTTTTTCAAAGTGTGGTCAATGCTACGGAATCAGTTGCACAAACTTTTGTATTTTAGTTGAGGACGAAAATGACGCTCAGGATGACGTCCTAGCAGATTTTATTTAAAACTTTAATTTAATAATATTTTTTTTAACAATATTATTTAATAAATAATATTTAAAAGTTATTTCTAATTGTTTTAATGCATAAATTTATACTTGTTTTATCTATATTAACGCTATACTGTTAATGCAAAAATTATAGCTGATTGGTTTAAAAATCTGGAAAATTTATAAAACGTATAGTAAAAATTGCTCTATCTCTATTACTATTTATTTTAGGAAAAAAAAAATGATTGAAAGTAAAATATTCTAAATTTAATTCTCTACAAAAAACATATCTTTAGATTTTTCGAAAAAAGTTATGCAAACGGAGATATTTGAAAAAAACGAAAAAATCCAAGATGGCGGCGGTTTTTTTTAAACTTCCCCCACTGGGACCGAATGGGACTTTTGAGGGGTTAAATAGGAGATCATTATCTACACATTCCCGTTGAGATCGGTTGGTTACTAATTTTTTCCACCTCAACCTCCAGATTGACTGGCCTAAGATACTCTTTTTTTGTTTTGGAAATTTGGACACAATTTATTTAAACTAATTTCAAGTCCGGCTCTGTTTTTTAACATTTAATATATTCATCGTTACAATATTGATAAGCTTTCAAACTTAACAGTGACGTGGGTTGAATACGGAAAATCAAATGTAATATAATAATAAAAAATAATATAAATAAAATGTAATATAAACAATCAAATAATTTCCCCGGAAGATGGATTGGAAATGGTAGAGCAGTATAATGGCCAGCGAGGTACCTGAACCGTCTGATGACGTCAAGTAATTCGACAGGTCCAAATTTTACAAAAAAGTGAAATCAACACATCTCGGCAGTTACAATTTAGAGTACAAAATGCATCCGAAAGTATAAGGAGATCTATTCAAAATCTATAAATAAAATTGAATGAAAAATAAATTTGTGCAATAGGGAGGGTGGCAACCCTTTCAAATATGTTTGAAGAAACTAGTTTGTAGAAGTTAATTTATTCATAATAACTACGATTAATATTATGCAAATTATTAGATTGTACACTGAGAATTTCAAATTCACAATAAGAAAAGTTAAAAATAATATCTTTAAATTGCTGATCTGGATATTATTTATTTGAATCTTTCAGTTGGCTCAATTTTCCTTATTCAATGTTAATTAGCACTGATCAATATTGTTGCGATGAATATAATCAGATTAAATAATTTAAAAAAACCGAGTTGGACTTGACATTTTTTTAAATAATAATTAAATAGTTTTGTTGCTGTTAAGGTACCCAAAACAAAAAAAAGTATAAAGTGTGACATGTCATTGTACTCAGGAGATTGAGTTCTTTCAAAATGTGAAATAAAAATGCAGGTCCGTATTTAAAAAAATTAAGTTGGCCTGTATCTCACAAGTTATCAGCTAATTTGAAAATCTAAAAATACTATCAGATAGCCCTAATCATAGACTTAAAATAAAATATAGACTGAGCATCTCATTCATAAATAGCTGGAACATGCGGTCAGACAATGTCTTGTTATTGTTGTGTTATTGTTTTAGGTTATAACGAGTGCGACACGAGCGATAGATAGGTTGTCTCTGTCGTAACGGTCGTTCCCTGACGACTCTGACGAGAAACGCAACACTGTCACTGTCTTTCATTTATCAAGTACACCTGAACTCTCCGTATCATAGGCGGGTATTTTTTTTATTTTAATGAAGCTATAATTAAATTAAAAATATATCGTATTTAAACTTTTTTATATTTTATTAAGATTTAGGAGAGGTTTTTTTTAAATAAAAGTTTAGAAAAAACGTCTTTAGAAAAAAGTCCAAAAAGGATAAAAATAATAAAATACATGTTATAGAAGAAATTTTATAATCGAAATAACGTAATTTTTGAAATTATTAAAAAAAAATATTAATTTTAGTCCAACATTTACAACCCCTAATATTAATCAAAACAGGATCTATTCTACAGATATAATAGAATCGGCGACAGGAAGAAAAAAAAAATTATGATTGTTGTAATTTTTTTTTCTGGTTAAGTGATGTCTTATTTATGTAAATTAGAGAAAACATAAATCTGTTCCATTAAAGCAAGGAAGGTGATAGGAAGTAGATAAAATGAAAAACTACATTTATTTAACTGGGTATTGTCTTTATTATACCGGGTGCCAAAAAGCCCAAAAGTGGCTCATCCCCATAATTTTTTTATTTTTTCAAATAAAAAAACAAGATTTAGTATGCTAATATATGAAATAAATTAGGATTGATTGACACATTCAATTATTGTTTTTGATCACTTCCTGATCGCACCCTCGGTATATTTCTACTTTATTCGATAGAAAATGACACTCTGAATAGAATGGCATATCATATGTCAACTTTTGACATTTTCGCATATGGTTTAATGGTAATTGTAACACGCAGTTTATAACGACAATTTGACTCGAAATACCAAGTGTTTGGTATCAATATATTCATAAAAAAATGGTTTTTCCAAATATGCTAATGAGTCACCCTTATTCAATTTGAAAAAATTGACATATGATTAAAAATACGATTTGTACATCTTTTAACCTGCCTAGACAAGACACGAAACCCATTAGACGATCAAAACTATTTTTTCAAGGCTCCTTGATTAAAACTTAGTGTTTTTAACAACATCAGGGCACCCAAGATTGAAATTTAAAATACGATTTGTTTTTAAGTGACAATGTCAAAAGTTGACATGATATGTCATTCTATTCAGAGTGTCATTTTTTATCGAATAAAGTAGCAATATACCGAGGGTGCCTTTAAAAATCAAAAGACGTAATCATTTCCGGTGAAACAGGAAGAGACCAAAAACAATTAAATACGTCAATCAATCCTAATTTATGTCATATGCCTACTAACAGACAAATCTGTTTTTTTATCTGAAAATATAATAAAGTTATAGGGGTGAGCCGCTTTTGAGACGAACCCGGTATATTAAAAAATATTGTTTCATAATGTAATATCATTTTAAAATTCTTGTATGTTATTTTAGATTCTGAAGATAATTTTAGAATAAACCGGAATATATTTTTAATAAAAACATTATTAATTATTAACAGGGTTATAATAATTATGATTTTGTTACAAAAACCTTTATATAAATGATTATGTAAGAGAAAAAATTCAGATTTTACATTTTACTAAAATATTATCTAAATAAGCGCCTTTCTACAACAACGCCACTGGCTCCCAATGGGTAAATTGAGAGTTGCCTACCGGTCGAAAGTCGTTTCAACACTTAAATAGATTATTTAAAGTCAAATTTCTTGCAAATTTGGCACTGGCGAACCATATTTTATAGTTCTTGAACAGAAAAAGTAAACAAATGTAAATCGTAATTTTTGGGGCTTACTCAACCGGGTCTCACAATGCAAATTCACCTCCAATATCCCTTTAGTTGGTCATTGGCAAGCACTCTCTCATTGTACATGAAAATAACAAAACAAACATTTACTGATCTGGATAAAATTGATAGTTAAATAGTAAGACTCACCCGGGGGTACTCCGCCCCCTAGCCACTGACATCACTGATATTCTATTCAATATATCCCATTCCATATCTTCCATCTAATTAAAATATTATTCGGATCTATTGGTTAATAATCTTCAACAACTAGCTAGTGTCACCTGAAATAGTATAGGGGCTTCCCCCGGACGCAATTCTGCCGCTAAACAGATTCGCATCCCTTTTTTCGAGAAGACATTATGGAGACCTCAAACTCTCAAGACCAACTCGAAGGCAGGACGTCACAGAGGTTTTCTTACCGTGGTCAAACGACCCCGTTGGCTTACAGTCAAACGACTTGCAACTATATTAGTCAAAAGACTCGCAACCTCCATTTGTCAGCTCTGTGACAAAACACAACACTACACAGCCGGCCGGCCTATCAACAACTGACTGACCTGCCGCCTGCCGAGCTAAGCCTCCTCTTACATCACAATTTTACCTGATCACAAATATTTACATCGCTTGCCAATGAATCATACTGTTTTCTCTAATCGACTTTCAAATAGAGTGTTTTAGCATTACCAAATAAATAAATAGAGAGTTTCCGAAGGAATGCATATTGTTTATTAGAATAGTGAATAAATAAAAGGATTATTATGACGAACTTATTTTCCAAGTTTTACACAAAATAAACACTTAAAGACTACAAGCTAAGAAAATGCGTTAATACAGCCGGGGAGATAGCGGCAACAAAGCTTTACCGCACACGTGCGACACGTACTACAAGGTAATAAATGAATGAATAGGCGACCTCGGTGTTGCCATATTGTAAAGAACTTATCCTTTTTAAATAGTATCCAACTTATAATTTAGTAGTATAAGGACTATTTAATACATCTATGGAATATTAAAACCTACTTTATTAAAATGTAGTATTAATATCTCAATATATGTGTATAACAAGAAAAAAAAAATATTGATAATATTAAAGACGTGACAACATAGGTTGGATGAGGAAGGCTAGGTCGACTGTACCCAGAAGTAAACATGTGTACAAAAAAGATTGTTTGACCGCGTTAAGATGTAAATAGTGTAGTCTATATTTTATTTTAAGTCTATGGCCCTAATAAAGTGGCTATGAGAATGTGCAATTAGTTTTTTGATTTTCTAAAAAGTAACAACAAGAAAAAATAAAATTAGTTTTCAAAAAAATAAGTTTTTTCCAAAAAACTCAGCAATTCTTGAAATTTTTAAAACTTTTTGGTGGCATCTTGGTGAACAGCCCAAGGCGCAACTTTGCCCCCATTTTACTATCTTCGTATCTATTACGGTTTCCGAGATACCAATGCCCGTACCTCAAAGTTGTAGCACCCTGTATAGGAAAGCGAGGCTACATGAGGTTAATAATTTTGTTTAAACACGCAAAAAAAAACATAGTTGTTTCCTTTTGAGCCTTCCCAAATACACACGATTTTTTCTGCTTTCCTGATAACTTAAATTTACACTAGATAATTACATAAAACAGGAAAAAATAGTTTTAATACTTTACTTACAATCTGGTAGTCCATGACAGCATTTTGGTCGAACCGTTACATTGCAGTTTGGATCATGATGACGATCGCAACACCACATCATTGGAATACATCTTCCATCATCACATGGTATTTTATCTGAGAAGAATAATAACTTGATACTTACTTTCAACTATAAAAAAAAGTGATTTAAGTTCAACGTCCAAGCCCTACAAGCTAGACTTTGTATGTAGGAGAACAATTAAAAAACACTAACTTAATGAACTTAAATCACCTTAGTTCATTAATAAATATTTTTGCTATTTCTACAAAAGAAATCAAAAGTTTAAAAAAAATGTAATAATTATGTTTTAAGTTAATATTCATACAAATTTGTTAGAATACCTTTGCAAGGGTTTTTAGTGCATGTTGCCACACTTTCATCAGATCCATCTTTACAATCTGCAACACCGTCGCACACATAATGTTGAATTATACACACTCCTGTTGATACACACTACAAAAAACGTTCATTTCATTGTATATATTGTGACAATATTATTGTCATTTCAGCAAAAGAGTACAATCTGTCTGAGAGGACCTGTGACAATAACTGTTGTCTATCATTTTAATTTATGGGCAAATTGTATTTTTTGAATGTAGTCTATCGAAATTTTCCCTGACTCATGGGACAGACTATATATAATTTTGACATGAAATTAATTTACCTGGAACATGTGTTCATTGCAATAACTAGTTTCATACATGGGTTTTTTATATCTTCTTTTAATTTCATCTCTCACTAATATTTTTACTGCTTTATGCAAGTTAAATTTACGACTAATACAGATATATTTGCCTTGGTCCTCGGCTTGCAAGGGATCGAACTTCCTTTCAGATTTATTAATTTCTTTGACTTCAGAATTTCTAACTGCTTCATTAAAACTGTAAATACCGTAACTATATTGTAAATGGTTTGTACGGTAAAGTATGTTTAAATACCTCTCGATGTTTTTTAAATTTTCATCATCCTTTTTCCATGATAACTGATCATCAAAACTAGTTTCGTTAGTTGTGGTCACCAATTCACAGACTAAAGAAAACCGATTTCCAATTTTTTCTTCAATATCTGACGATACTGGGTATATCATGTCATCATTTTTCTTATTAATTTCTAATTCTAATTTACCTAAAACAAATATGTTAGAAATAAATTGTAAGCTGAAGCAAGTATAGCTGGAGAAATGGTATAACTTACCTTCTACAAGAAAAACAAAAAACACGGTAAAAAAATAAATATTAATAAGCATTTTAAAATAATTACAACATTTTTTAATAACTAAAAAAATAAATTTATTGGGAAAAGAATATTCAAAAGAAAACAATAGCTATTTTAAAGATTTAATAATCCATAGAAAAAAATGAATGTAGATATTTGACCATAGCTCAGTAAAACATTAAAACATAAGACCATACCATAGATAGACAAGTGTCATTTAGATCATATATAAATATTTTTCAAATTTTAACAAATTTATTCCGGTCATTCCGATTCCGATTAAGACAAACTTTCTTTTAAAAAACTACATAATGTGCGCGTACAGGAAACACAGCGGCTGACCCTTGTGTGTAAAAATATGGTAAAAATAGACCGTTGGGGAAGTCGCTTACTTGCCTTTCATTAGTATATTCTGTGACTTAGGCCCGGTTGTACCAAAATAAACTGAACGAGAGTTCAACTGATCGGTTGGTCAAAGTTGAACTTGGATTGCGTTGCACCAACTCGCGTTCAGCAGAACGTCGATCAATATTTAGTTTCTTATGTTGGTATTGAATTTCACAGTAACTTTTGGAGTTTTTATATAAGTTGGCGTAAATGCTTTTAAAAGTTTGTTTTATTGATTGGCGGGTTCTCCCAAAATATAAATTATTGTACCTTTTTTCCTTTCTGTTGCCATAAAATACGACTTTTTAATACCTGTTCGCGGCTGACCGATTCGTTCATTTACTTTTTAGACGTTCTAGCTAATACATCTGTACATCATACCTTATTTTTTATATTATATTATTATATAAAGTGAAATCTATATTTAGATGGTATCTAAGGGGTTTAACAAAAAAATTAACAAATTGGAGTAGTTCAAAAATTGAACTAGCTGAGCTTCAAAAGAAATGTTTCCTAGAGCAGCACAATTTAAAAATGTCTCAAATGCCAGAAAAGCAAGAAGCCTTTATGAGGCAGCAGGCAGCAAGAAAGGGAGCATGATGAGAGAATTCAATTTTTAAAATTTAGCAAGGAACTAATAAAAAAAATAATTGACCAATAAATACTCTGTAAATATATAATTATTAAAAAATATTATATAAACACTTCCCAGCAAACACGAACTATCGGTAAATAATCGGCCAATTGCCGTAAACGATGGCTGAGTAACGGCATCGGCAAAATATAATTGGTCCTATGTGTTAATGATGATTGAATTTTGGCCTTTGGCATTTGAACGCTGGCATAACGTTGGCATTTATTTAAGTAATCATTTTAAAGTATACAACCGGTAGTGCATCAACGGAACGGCAACGTGCCAACGTGCGTTTCCCATTCTTCTT